GATTCCTTAATTTTTCATCACAAATCTTCGGACTACACTGATCGGGATAGTAAGCAGGTTTGTTTTTTTTCATTTTAAGTTTATCCTTTATCTTTACATTCATAATTGCTTTACAATACTGTCGCACATGTAAAATCTCTTAAATTTGTCTCATTATTGATAATTTATCGCATTTTCTTCAATTATTTTATCATTATTTCAATTCACTCACTCGGGTCTCACTCATCTATTAATTTAAAATCTTTTAGGTGATGTCTATCTTTGATATTCTGTCGATAAAATACTAGTAAATTAATTTTATATGAATAATATGAATAATTGTTATATTTAGGCATCGTCTTTTGCACACCTTCGTCTCCCTTATCAATTTAATGTTTTTTAAATGATACAAATTACATGGATTGCCTGGACTGCATCCTCAATCAACTATGTCAGTCAACAAATTTTGTGGATAATCCTTGATTGGAATTAGAGAGACTACCTATTTTCATATATTTAATCAATTTGAATAGGGATATGCTGATATAATTGATTATTAAACTGAGAACAAGATAGACTTAAGAGCTTATCATGGATCATTCCTTAGATCTAGTAGTATTTATTTTCGAACGTACTTAGGGCTCATCTACTAGATATTTTTGCCTAACTTATTAAAGGTTGTCATTTTCCTTAATCCACTGTTTTTTTTACTGAACTAGCTCTTATTCCCCTAATTCGTTTCCTATGTAAACACGATGGCCGGTAATTCTTTTCCTTTTCACTAATCCAGCGCCTTCAAGTCACTAACACCAGTCTTGCAGCACTCAGCTCTTCAGCCATAGATACTATCAATTTTGCTATTGACACTGCCTCTAATTCCGCCTCGACTTATACGACACCGCTTAAATCAATCGAGGCAAGTCAAGCTGCCACAGTAGATAGTCAGGCCATTTTCTCTGCGACTATCGGTTTGGCTGCCAGTTTGGGAGCTCCTCGTCCTCTCGATGAGATCACCGGCTTCGAGAGCGGTGTCAGTCTGGACCGCGAGTCAAATGTAATCGTCTTGACGGGCTTGCGAGGAGTTTATGCGGTGGCTCTCCAATGCACCGAGGAAATGTTCAAGTGGGCCGATCAACT